TCATCGGGAAAAAGAAACGAGATTTAAGAGGATAAAGCGTGGAATACCGAGGGCGATTCGAATTTTCTATTTGAGGGGAAAAATCGGCTCCGCCGAATCTCCCTTGCGAAGCCGCGGGGGGTAGATAAGGGAGATATCTGGGGAATTATTTCAACTATTTCACTCGAGAGGCGCAACCAACGGTCCGTTTAATCCGAACAATTTCATCGTCTCCTAAAGGCCAACTCTTGGAAAAAGAACTCTTCCTCTGCATCTCCGGGCTGAACGAATTGAACACAAACCTCTTCGGTAATTGCTCTCGACCCAGTAATTACGCTGTACTTTAACATCTCGTTGCAGTCCCTTCGACGGAGCATCCGAAGTCATTTGCAATTGAACGTCGACGAATGCAACTCCGGAGAAGAAGATTAATCCTTTCTGTCGTGGCATTGTCTGGGTTCTCTCGGGGATCTAAACGTCTCATTGTGTAAAGTAACGTCAATGCAATTAGAAAAGCCGAAATGTTAAGGTGATATGATAAGAGACAGCATATGTATATCTGAGAGGTCAAATCGTTGGGGAAAGTATTCCCCCGAATTGAATGTACCGATTCGTTTGAAATTTTCCCACGGGAATATGGTAGTCCTAAAGTAGGTCCTGAAACTCATGAAATTCATTTTTCATCAAAAATTTATTTACTCATCATGGACTAGAACAAACATGGCGGGGTCCGGGCACGTTTTCGATGTTTTACGCTTCTTGGAGGTTTAAAATCGAAAAGGAAGAGTTTCAGGACCTAGCTCGAAGAATTTAGAATATCGGAGAAATGGAATATTACAGTGTCAGATGGGAAAATATGGAAAATACTTGCACCAACGATCGAAAGAGAATGCTGGTTCGTTTCGGGGCTAATACGCGTTCTTAGAGCACTTTAGTTGTAGTTAAACCTCATAGATGGCGACGTTGGTCCTAAACAGTCGTTAGAATAATGAATTTACGGGGTTTCGACGGTTTTAGGGTGATCTCTTTATCATTACGTTACCGAAATGACATATGGAACACTTCAGTTCGTGCAATTCTCAACGTAGACTGTCCGGGCACGTTTTCGATGTATTACGCTTCTTGGAGACTTAAAATCGAAAAGGAAGAGTTTCAGGACCTAGCTCGAAGAATTTAGAATACCGTAGAAATGGAATATTACAGAGTCATATAGAAAAATATGGAAAATACTTTCACCAACGATCATAAGAGAATACTGGCTTGTCTCAGGGCTAACACGTGTTTTTAGAGAATACATTTAGTTGCAGCTAAACATCACAGATGGCGATGTTGGTCCTAAACAGTCGTTAGAATAATGAATTCCCGGGATTTCGACGGTTTTACGTCGATCTCTTTATCATTACTTTACCGAAATGACATATGGACCGTTTCATTTCGTATAATTCTCAACGTAGACTGTAATAGACTTCGACATAAATATAAATGTCAGTAGCGGAGGACATTTTTTACGTTCATATACAGAGAAGTTCCACTCTTCAATAGTGCCTAAACTCTCCTCGTTCTTTTTCTGATATTTAATATCTGTAAGGAAAATATTAATAATTCATAACTCGATTAGCCTGATTTGGTGCCGTGTCGGGGGATAAAAAGAAAAATCAGGGGACGCTGCAAAATCTCGGTAAAGGGCGGAATAAATTCAGTACATCTGGGGAATTGTTTGAGCACGTTAACCTAAAAGCGCAGTCGACGGAAGGATTCTGCCATCCTTGATCCGGAGTCCGGCTGATAAAAGAGCTTCCACGGGACGAATCCTACGATAATTGCTCTCCACCCCGTAATTACTCGATACTTTAATGCCGTCCGATGGGGCATCTGCAGTCATCTGCAATTCAACGTAGACGAATCCAGGCCGAGACAAAACGGATAACCCTTTCTGTCTGGTCCTCTCCGAGGGCGCCATTCTTCTCGTCCTCGTTCTTCTACTTTTCTCGTAATTTTCGTTTCGCATTGGCATTTTTGTACAATTTACCCAACTTTACTCTATTTCCGACGTATTCATGACGTATCCTAGACGTATTCTAGACGTATTCTAAATGTATTCATGACGTATTCTTGACGTATTCCAAACGTATACTAGACGTATTTCAGCCGTATTCCCGGTCCCGACCGTCCCCAACTTCCGGAAGGCTTTTCCGCCCTTTAATTATTCCTCGACTCTCTAAGGAAGCGGCCGAATCGTGCGGTTTCAAAGGGAAGATACCGCAAACAAGCCGAAATGCCGCAAAGAGGAGGAACCGATAGCTTCGGATTTCGCGCTATCGGAAATTCAGCAATTTCGGGAAATGTGTCCCTGCCTCGTCGGAAATTGCTTTCGCGGCATTGGTAAATAGTTTTTACATTTAATTCGAATTACCGACGTATCGATTTCGTCCGCAAACTTTTGCTCATCAGCGATATTCGATTTGCATTTAAAAATATATTTTGAAATTAGATAGTTTATTTATGTAACTTTAAAATTAGTAACAAGATTGGGCATTGGTAAATAGTTTTTCCATTTAATTCGAATTACCGACTTATCGATTTCGCCCGAATACTTTCGCTCATCAGCGATATTCGAATTGCATTTAAAAATATATTTTGCAATTAGACAGTTTTATTTATGTAATCTTAAAATTAGTAACAAGATTGCGCATTGGTAAATAGTTTTTATATCTAATTCGGATACGTGCAAACCCGTCTAGGGTATCTCTTTTTCGGGTGATCTATTTATCCAACCATCCATTAATCCATCCAGCACCAGAGCGAGTGTCTATTTTTCTGCCTATCGTTTCCCGTCAGGATCGTCTTTCAGGAGCGAGCCAGACGAGCTCTGGACGATCAGGATCAATTTACATGCCAGGACGAGGTCCGAACGCGGCTAGGGATCCTCGGAACCCATGGGGAACGGTTCCCTCGGAAGTTCCTGGTGGTACCAGGACCGTTTGTTACCCTGGACTAATTTTGATAAGTGGTCCGGCTTGGAAAGACCAACTGCCCTAAGACCAGGCGATCCCTCAAGCCCTGGGCTCTGGTAACCAGGTCGGCTCTTCCGCAAAGAGAGGATCCTCGGCTCGGTATTTAATCAATTTGCGGTCTCGTCGCTCGTCGGCGGACGTGTATGAAAAGTAACGAAATTCAATCTCCGGCCGTAATCAGATTTGTCGGCCGCGCACTTGGAGCTGTCCAGAGATGCGAAACGTTTCGGGTCGTTACGATTTATTCGAATCCCCTGTATTTACAGGGATCGTTGGAACCGGGACCACGATTCAATTAACAGCTGGATATGCCCCTGCAAATAGGCTGGGGAATTCGGGTGTAATGAATTACCTGGATGGGCTTCATGCCTCGAATTACGCCAGGAGTACTCGACCCTGAACCGGCTCGTTCGGTTATTAGAATAATGGCAACGGGTCGCTTGGAGAGTCGATACAGCTACAAAGTTTGCTCCCCATATAGTGTCTTGGAAATTATTACCTCGGATAATAAGAGGTACTCTTGCTGGGGAAGTACAAATAATCATACGTCCGACCTGGCGCCTCTTTCAGTCAGTCTCGATCGGGTCGTCATGGATGTAGCATCGTCGTGTAACGAGCGTGGGAAGTAAACAGTTCTTCAAAACGAATTACGGTCATGAACGTTTAATGTATCTTTATCGGAGAGGCAATGTTAAGCCCAGCTTTAGTCAATATAAAGGTATCATTACTTATTGTTCACTGATCTTCCCCTCTGAAAGTTTTTGAAAATGGACTCTTAGGAATTATTACCTCACTTTTAGCATTGAAAACAAATACCTATTAACACTAAATGTGAGATGTAAGTACATACGTTCGATAGGATTGTCATAAATGTAGCATCATCATGCAACGAGTGCGAGAAATAAAAAGTTCTTAATAACAAATCACGGTCATGAACGTTGAATGTACGTGTGTCGCACAGATAAACAATTTTAAGCCCAACTTTGCCAATGTGAAGCTATCATTACTTTTTGTTCTTTGATCTTCCCCTCTGAAAGTTTCTGAAAATGGACTCAAAGGAACTCTTAACTCACCTTTAGCATTGAAAACAAATACCTTTTAACACTAAATGTAAGTACATTAGCGAGCACGAATGCCTCTTTCAGTCAGTCTCGATCGGATCGTCATGGATGTAGCATCGTCGTATAACGAGCGCGGGAAGTAAACAGTTCTTCAAAACGAATCACGGTCATGAACGTTGAATGTATTTGTATAGTAAAGGTAAACAATGTTAAGCCCAGCTTTAGTCAATATGAAGGTATCATTACTTTTTGTTCTTTGATCTTCCCCTCTGAAAATTTCTGAAAATGGACTCTCAGAAACTAATAACTCACTTTTAGCATTGAAAACAAATACCTTTTAACACTAAATGTGAGGCGTGAGTACCTGAGAAGAGAAATTTCATTGAACGAAAGAAATATTTGGTTATCGTTTTAACTAATTTTCGAGCGAATCGCTCGATTTTAACCCGAAGCGTCACTTATCATTGAATCGCATTGTTTATCTTATAAAAAAAATAATCGGTTGTCAAGGAACATCTGACCGAATTCCGAATGCATAGCTCCTCTATTTTAATTCTGAGCGTCATTTATTATTGAATCATATGTTGTTTATGTTATAAAATAAATAATCGGTTCTCAAGGAACATCGTTTAGACCAGGTGCGTAAAGCTGGCACCTCCACCTTTACAAAATTCAAATTTCTTTGTCAACATTTTGTGCTCTTTTTTTTCCAAAAACCGAGCTAGCACAACATTTGCGAATGTAGCACATAAAGAGCACAAAATATTAAGACAAAGAAATTTGAATTTTGTAAAGGTGGGGGTGCCAGGTTTACGCACCTGTTTAGACCGATTTCCGAGCGAACGACCCCTAGAGAGGAACGGCGACGGTCATGTTTATTCCATTACGTCGCTCAAACTAATTAATCGGAAGCGAAGTCTAATCCAGTCGACTCGTATGGTTCCAGGAGTTGGAAAGGAGTTACACCCTGTCGACCCCCGGGGGTAGCAGCCCCACGTGCTACCCGCCGTGCAGTCCGCCGCCCGCCCCCGCGGCGTACATCTCCAGTGCCCGCGCGTCCTCCCGGAGACTCGGCAGCGGACCTCCGTCTCCGGAACGGGATCCCCTGGGACGTCTGTTAAGGTAAGCTGCGCGTTCCTCTGTACTCTCCCGGCCCACCTGCCTCGAGCTTAGGACGGCTCTTCCCGGGAGGGGGCGGATTAAACTTTCAGGACGGGGTCCACGAGTCGAGCTCTCCTGACCCCGGCTGGTGAACCGGAGCTCGCAGATGGGGAGCGGGATCCCTGTAGATTGTGTCGAAGGGATCTCCGCTTTGCGATTTCCGACGCTTCCAGGACTCCGGGGATCCTTGAACGCGGAAACGCGCGTTTCTGCGTAGAGATATGTAAGGGTACCTTTGGGTGATAAGGCCCTCCGTAACTTGAAAGGCTCGTTAAAAATAAAATATTAAGTATTTTTGGAAAATGGGGAGCAGGATCCCATCAGTAACAGCAGGTCCCATAAATGTAGATTGTGTCGAAGGGATCTCCGCTTTGCGATTTCCGACGCTTCCTGGACTCCGGGGATCCTTGAACGCGGAAACGCGCGTTTCTGCGTAGAGATATGTAAGGGTACCTTTGGGTGGTAAGGCCCTCCGTAACTTGAAAGGCTCGTTAAAAGTAAAATATTAAGTATTTTTGGAAGATGGGGGTAGGATCCCTGTAGATTAGGTCGAAGGGATCTCCGCTTTGCGATTTCCGACGCTTCCTGGACTCCGGGGATCCTTGAACTCGGAAACGCGCGTTTCTGCGTAGAGATATATGTAAGGTACCTTTGGGTGATAAGGCCCTCCATAACTTGAAATTCTCGTAAAAACTAAACCCACCCTAACCCTATTTCCCTGATAAAGGCTGCGGTCCCAATTCTCAATCTTCTTCTTTCTCCTAACTGGCAGTCGCAAACATTGCACTTTGCTATATGATAAAAAATAAGCATGGGCCTTATTACCCAAAGTTACCTTATATATTGTCAAAAAAAGGTCGAGTACTGGTATAAAAGTGGTTTTTATTGGTAGGGATCTAAGATCGCGTCAGGGCCGGCAGATAGGTATCATAAGACTGATCGTGTAACCCTTTAATTACCAAACTCCACTATGGTGGCTTCCCCATGAATGGCGTCTTTTTACGAATCGTCACAATTGTGGCGCCCTTCGTTCCAATGTATTCAAAAAGTACCGAACAGAAATCATGAGAGTGTGAGAATACTCTGTACGGATGTGCACGGACTCGGTACGGATGTGCATGAATCGGCCGCTACTAGATACGTCTATCTCGGAGATGGTTTGTCAATATTGAATTATTTATCGAGGGCAATGCGAGAAACGTACGTGGAGGGGTCGTGGGACCCAGGTCCTTGTTTTAAAAAGTCTGGACTGACCAGGACGTCGAGGATCTTCCGTCCATCCGTAAGTGCACTGGAGCTGGATTTTCGACCTCCAGACTCGGGATTACCAGGATCAATCGCCGAGTGGGGCAGGATCTTCGGTTTTGTACCGTTTCTGCTGAAAAATCCAAGAATTCCTGGGGACGTCCAGGATCTACCCCACTCGAACCGCGGGGGAGGGGAACTCGGTATTAGGGAAATCGCGGAGGAGTACCTTGCTGCCGGATCACGGTGGAATCCTCCCTCGTCTTGATCCTATTACTGGAGGGATCCAGGAAATCTTCGACACATCCTCTGTTCCCCCTTTTTATGTCCTGCCGCATCCCGTAGGCTCGCGTCGTCTAGCAGGATCCAGATGGCGTCCTTTTGAATTCTGCACTTCCTTCGGGAGACCCCAGGAACCTCGGAATACGGAACGGAATTTATTATTAAAAAGGTCTTCGCGGCGGATTTCCTGGTTACGGTTCTTGGTCCCTTTGAGCAATCTAAGCCTTTTACCGAATAAGGAGCCATGAATACCTGAATGTTAAAAAGGACCTCGCAGATCGGGGTATCGCGCCTTCGTTTGTATATCTTTAAGGGAGGAACTCTTCCTGTTCTCTTATTAAGGGGATGCGAAAGAGGCGTCTAAGAAGTCTCGTTTATGAATCTTTTCTGCGGACTGGGTGTACCGAAGCGTTTCTAACTTTATAATGTAAATATGAAGGATATAAGGAAGGTCTTAGCACAGGTGAAATTTCATTTCTTTTTCTGAATTTGTATATAGGCATTTTTAATTTTCGTATTAAACAATACATTTCATGGGTGTCGGGACCTTTTTTATAGCCTCCATATTCGTATTATTAAATTTGAAATGACTCAGTGCACTCAATTCGGCAAAAAGTTTCATGAACGATTGACTCCTCGGATGTCACTTTCACGACCCCCTGATGACGTGAAAGAGGCGTCTAAGAAGTCTCGTTTGGCGCATAATGGCGTGTACGGGCCTAGGAATTTCGCCCATACGTCGAAAGGTCTTCGGTAGCTTAAACAGCAAGAACCGCAATAACTTCCTGGACAATCTAATCGAGTTTAAAAGATAACTGCATGAACATGGATCAGGGACCAGTCCAAATTCGATGTCCGATATGTAAAGTAGAAAGAAGTAAGCGTTTTGGAAATAGCGACGATATGAAATGTTAAAAAATGTCCAGTCTAAATTCGGTAGCCAAAGCTCCGGAAAAGCGGGAGAACCGCTAGGTCGGATGTCGGGGGGCGATTCCCAGGAAGTTGTAAAACTCCCATCGGCATCCCCGAGGTTCACGTCCAGGGTTTCCCGGTTCCCGTCGAGGCTTTCCCGATTCCCTTCTACGAGCATCAATCTTTACTACCCTCCGCATCGGGGTGCCTAGATCTGCCGACATCTTACCACCGCGACATCTCTTTTTCGGCCGACCCATTTCCGTGGCTTCATGAAATTCAAAAGTTCCCGGGGAACTGTAGAAGGCGAGTTAGGTGGTGCCCGCCTTGATGGGAGGTCCATGCTCGACCTGTGACACCCGGGGACCATCCGTCTCCGTTTTAGCGCACTTTCCCTGCAGTAGATACGAGTCCTTCCCCCGCGTTTCCGGTTCCCCTTCTTTGACTCCCGCACCCTTTTCGTGGGGTGGAAAAACCAAAAGATCCTCCCAAGTGTCCTGGACAGCCCAAAGAGGTTCACTTTGCATTTGGGGTAGATCATATGGAAGGTTTAAATAATTTATGAGATTTATTTCCTGCCAGGCCCACCCCTTTCGGACAATCATTCGCGTGATTGTCCGAACGTACGTTAGGAGGTAACGTGCGTAATCATCAAAATCGAATGACTTATGTCGATGGCAAATTTTTCTAATGGATATTCCCAACTATGCCTAATGTTGGAACAACTAGTTCCTTGTAGTTACGTTGACTGAATGGTGAAGTAACCCTTTCTATGTTCTTTTTACTGTGTTACGCTGGTTAATGCAACCTCCTCCAAAAATTGTTCCGTATGTTGCCTTGCAATATGGTTAGGATTGCCACAATTGTGGTTTTCCTGACCATCCTTTTATTTCTTCGTGCACAAAACGAGGAAAACCTACGTGGCACTAGTTACGTTGACTGAATGGTGAACTAACCCTTACTATGTCCTTATTACTGTGTTACGCTGGTTAATGCAACCTCCTCCCAAGATTATCCCGTATGTTGCCTTGCAATATTGTTAGGATTGCCACAATTGTGGTTTTCCTGACCATCCTTTTATTTCTTCGTGCACAAAACGAGGAAAACCTACGTGGCACTAGTTACGTTGACTGAATGGTGAACTAACCCTTACTATGTCCTTATTACTGTGTTAGGCTGGTTAATGCAACCTCCTCCCAAGATTATCCCGTATGTTGCCTTGCAATATTGTTAGGATTGCCACAATTGTGGTTTTCCTGACCATCCTTCTTTTTCTTTGTGCACAAAACGAGGAAAACTTACCATGGGACTAGTTACGTTGACTAAATGGTGAACTAACCCTTGTATGTTCTTTTTATCGTGTTACGCTGGTTAATGCCTCTTGGACTAACATTCGACCCCTTCTGCCGCAGGTTCCTGAAGACCTTCTACAGGGAGCTGGGCACCAGAGACCCGCCTCACCTGCCGCCGTGGACTGCCCCTCTGCCCCTGGGGAGCCTCTGCCCGGCGCACTTCCAGCCGCACCTGCAACTGGTGCACCGGAGCGAGCAGGAGCATCGCCTGGAGAACATCAAGCCGGACCAGATCTTCGCTCCCGTCAGGGTAAGCATAAATCATCCCTCTTCCTGGCGAGGAGGAGCTCGTAAAACTTTGCGAGCTCGTCCTCCTCCTGTCCCGCGCGGGGAAGCGGGGGAGGCTTGATAAGAGCATTGCACTTACCTCGGAGAGGACGTTGCTCCGGCGTCGCCATTATCTGCCGGCGCGCCGAGCAAACCCTCCGGGACGTTCCTGGGAAATCGGCGAAATAATCCGATCGATTAATCGACACCTCCCGGCGCGTCCTGGGGCGAGGGGAACTTCGCAGGGCGAGGAGGGTCCTTCAAAGGACGTAATTGAGTCCTCGCCGAGGCGGCCCGTTTCAGGAACGACGTCCGCATGTTTCATCCGCGAGTCGGGATAATGCCCCGCGGGGGGCCAGACGATCCTACGGATGGGAACCAGGTTCCCCATCCACGGGTCTTGGGGGGAGGTCTTCCGTCTAGGACTCCTTTTTCTCCTTTGAAGATATCTTGTAGGGTGCGGTATAGGGGGCCGATGGAATTGGACTCTTTGCAAAGAGTGTCACGGGGCGAAAGTGAGAATTAAGGTGATATGAAAGGGTTATATGATTCTATATTACGTCAAAATATTTACGAAACTTTTCTCCAAACTAGGTGATATGAAAGGCTGATATGATTCTATATGTCGAAACGTCAAAATATTTATAATACTTTTCTCTAAACTGGGTGATATGAAAGGGGGATATGATTCTATATGTCGAAACGTCAAAATATTTATAATACTTTTCTCAGAACTAGGTGATATGAAAGGGTGATATGAGTCTATATGTCGAAACGTCAATATATTTATGAAACTTTTCTCAAAACTGGGTGCACCGAATCATTTGAAACATTAACACGTGATTATGGAGGCCCTAAGGAAGAACGCGATGCTCGTGAAATTTCATTTTTCACAAAGAAAATGTGATTTTGATTCTAGTCTAGGCGAAATAAGAAATTGTTTATCTTTGAAAAATGAAATTTCACGAACATCGCGTTCTACCTTAGGACCTCCATAATTGCATGTTAACGTATCAAATGATTTGTTGCACCCAGTTTTGAGAAGTTTTATTAATATTGTGACGTTTTAGTTATATATATATATATGACACTTTCGTATCACCACAATAATTATTAATAATTGCAATGCAGTTCGATCAATGTGGATCCTATACAGCGGAAATGCCTCTTTATTGCCACATTCACACATTGTTTTTTTTTTTAATTTAATTTCACGAGCATCGCGTTCTTTCTTAGAGCCTCCATAATCAGGTGTTAACGTATCAAATGATTCGTTGCACCCAATTTGAAGTAAAGTTTTATATGTATTGTGACGTTAATAATTATTAAAGGACAAGGCAGTACGATCAATATGGATCCTATACAGCGGAAATGCCTCTTTATTGCCACATTCTGATATATCTTTAACCATACGGATCAGCGGATTTTCTTGAATATTACGTCTGGAGACTTTATGTTTTCCTCTATGAGGGGATCTTTATAGCTTCCTTGGTACTCGCGAGGCCGTAATTCCTTTGTCTAACGTGGTAGGAACTGTTAAAGCAAAACAAGTTTTCCGTGCCGCATGCCAAAGCTACATGCCGGGGTCAGGGATGAATAATGGCGGGCCGAAAAGATGAATACCGGGCTCACACGGCGCATGCAAATCATTGCGTTTCGACAATCTGTTTCGCCATAAATTCGATGAAATCCAAACGTCGGATGGCGGACAACGTCGTGATCGTTCCGACACCAAAGCCGTACCAATGCGAGCTGATAATCAAGCTTAGTACCGATGCAATTTGATCGGCAAACATTGCCACTGCACAAAGTAGCACGGAGGAAAAAAAGCAGAATCTGTTAACGTTCCAGAAAAATCGGGGAAATATGCAGATTTCATCCGTCGAAATAAGTACTGCAGATTATTTCCATTGGCGTTACTCGAATCTGTAAAAATTGCAGATAAATGTCTTGTAACGATTACGTGTAAGTGTTTGGAAGCGTGGATAAATATCTAATCTTTAATCTGTTGGATTTATTAAATCTGCAGATTTTTTCCCGCAACACTTAGAAATATGTTCGAATTTTTCTGAAAGAGACAACAATTATGAACTGCACCGAACGAATCTTTAACGTCTGCCGATATTATTCGTTGCACCTGTTCATATTATCACTATTGATGTGAATTAAAATCCTCAATATTAATTAAAATACTAATAAGCCTAAAGCTATCAAAGAATTTTGTCGCGTCGATCAAATATTTGGTTTTCCATGTAATAACCATACTTATTCTGTAATTGAAACAAGAAAAATTGTATGGATTCAGCCAAATCACTTTCTACGTATCGATGCACAAGTTCGTGCATCTTTTTACCAGTTTTTGCAAAAAAATCAGGATGAACATATGCAACGAATTTTGCCACGTCAACCAAGTATTTTCTATTCCATGTAATAACCATACATATTCTATAATTGCACCAACAATTATTGTATGGATTCAGCCAAATCTCTTTATACGTGTCGATGCAGAAGTTCGTGCATCTTTTTACCAGGTTTTTGCACAAAAAAAAAATCAGGACAAACATATGCATCAACCTAATACAACAACGTCCTAATAAAAGTCCGAAATAACGACGAAACGTATTGCCCTCGCAACTCGGGCAATGCGTTCTTTCTCTGAAAAACGCAAAATTGTTGCACTCCCGGGTGCAGATGGGTGCAGCGCGGTAGCCGCGTTAACTGGTCAGAATCAGGCCGGGCCGTTTGTTAAAGGAAGTGGGCGAGGCGGGGTAATAAATTCGTCTGGACACGACCGAAGCGGGGTTTTATCTCTTTTAATTTAAAAGTACGTCAGAGCAGCGTTTCAGCTCGTCCCGCGTGGCGTTCCCGCGACGAAATGGCTGCCAGGATAAAACGACGCCCGAGATGCCGTTGGATGCAAGACGCCCAGCGCTTGGCTCCCGGGTTTTGAGGTTAGGTCTTCCAGGTCCTACCTCTCGGATCCAGGGAATAAACTCGCGTCGCGAACTCCTCGGCGTGTCCTAGAAAGGAAATAATAACGCGAGTGTTTGCAGAGTACCCGAACTTACCGGGAGAGCCGGAGTCCCGCGATGCGTCCGCTTCGGAGGTCCGGACGGAAATGCGTCCGCGACTTGCTGGGGCCTCGACGTAACGCGCCGGAGGGCGAGGGGGTGGAGCGGGGGCAAAACTCGGACCGAACATTTTCCTCTGCGGAAGCACGTACGACGTATACGTTATCTTGGAGATGTCTCCGCGAATTGACAGCGAGAACCGGAAAATGGCGGTGTCGTCTCGCAATGGGGAAGGGGAATCCTGAGAGCGCATCGATCCTTCCTGTTTCCGAGGATGGTGCACGGATATGTGCGGAAAATCTGATGGAAAGGTTACTAATTTAATTCCTGATCCGGGGATAAAGTCGATAAGCGATCCTGATAAGCGTAAGCAAAAATCTGACGGCAAGGTTACTAATCTAATTTCTTACCCGGGGATAAGTCGATAATCGATCCTGATAAACGTAAGCAAAAATTTGACTGCAAGGTTACTAATCTAATTCCTGACTCGAGGATACTCGATCCTGATAAACGTAAGCAAAATTTGATTGCAAGATTACTAATCTAATTCCTGATCCGGGGATACGTCTATAATCGATCCTGATAAACGTACGCAAAAATCTGACGGCAAGGTTACTAATCTAATTCCTGATCCGGGGATACTCGATCCTGATAAAGGTAAGCAAAAATCTGACGCCAAAGTTACTAATCTAATTCCTGATCCGAGGATAATTGATCCTGATAAAGATAAGCAAAAATCTGACGCCAAAGTTACTAATCTAATTCCTGATCCGAGGATAATTGATCCTGATAAACGTAAGCAAAAATCTGACGGCAAGGTTACTAATCTAATTTCTTACCCGGGGATAATCGGTCCTGATAAATGTAAGCAAAAATCTGACGGCAAGGTTACTAATCTAATTGCTGCCCCGATTAAAGTCTACAATCGATCCTGATAAACGTAAGCAAAAATTTGACGCCAAAGTTACTAATCTAATTCCTGATCCGAGGATAATCGATCTTATACGCTGCTATGCCACAGCAAAACTAAGTCAAAGCAAACTCCTAGCGACGACGGGGTATAATTCTTTTTGTTTTTTTATGCCGTAGATACCATTTCGTTTTCTTTTTTTTTTTTTTTCTGTGACGTAGTAGCCGTTTTGATCCATTTTCCTGTGGACCGGAAATACCTTTTCTAATTTCGCGGTGGCAGGTGGATGGAACCTCGGGAACCTCGATTAAAATGGACAGTGTTGGAATTATAAACCTGAAGATTGAGGTTTATAAATGAAACAAAAACCAATCTATGTTTAATGTGTATAGAGAGAGAGAGAGTCTGGCCCAT